GGGTGCAGGGGTCGGAGGGGGGGGCACTTTCTTAGCCGGTAACACTTCCATCACTATATATTTGAGGCCCCTCATCTTAGTTAGGCTAACTCTGGGCATAAACTTTATTATCTTGTGAGAGTTGCATCTCTTTTTCACTCTTCTTTGGGGATGTCTGTTGCATCTGTAGTATCGGCTGTCATGGTTTGTTCCTCCCCCACATAAGCAAGTAATCGGATCTTTAGTAAAAAGTGAAAATTGGGACTATATGTAACATCACCACATCATGAAATAAGATTCAACGAATTTAACTAAAGTAACTTATTTTCAGGACCGGGTGATTAGATCAATGAAAATATGTGACAATCTACCAATTTAATTTCTGGTTGTGAAACTTTTATTTAAAGTTTCAAAGGCTTATTTAAAGTTTCAAAGGCGGGAATGGAGAGGAATGTTTTGCCTTTGGGCATATTGACTTTAGCTGGTTGTTAGGAAACAAAAGACTCACAAACAGCCTTTGTCCCTCCCCCCTTTCCTGCCTAAGAGATTCAGGCGGAAAGACCTGGTTTAGCAGGGGAACCTTAGCATAATCTGTTGTCGGTGGTCTCTGTCAGGGATCTGGGATGAGACAGGATGCAGGTTCAAGATGAAGGAACAGAGGGCTACAGCTCGCTCAGGCAAGTAGCAGCCACTCTGTTGTCCACATCGTTTTTATTGTGCTGTGTACAGGGAAATGCGTGACTGAATCTACAAGGCCAGAACAATAACAATTTTTACAAAAGGCAGCTGCTCTTATTTAAGCTCCAAGAATAACTGATCTTGGTCTTTCTAACCCATAGGAGGAAGTTCATGTTCCAAGAACGCTCAGTACCATCTGCAGTCTTGAGCTAGACATGTCCCGTTTGCAGGACACGTCCTCACCTTGTAAGCCATCAACTCCATGTCCTCAGTTATCCTCTCCAGAATCCCTTTAGCGTTAGGCAGGAAGACGCCCAGTGGAGACAGCTGACCACCCTTTGCCCGCGACCCATTATTTCCTGGGTTGCCTGCCGGGGTCCTGCCCCGGCGTTCAAGGGAGCAGTTCCTGAAGTGGGGGGGCGAGGTTTAAGGAAACAAAGAGACAAAGGGGGTCCGGGAGGACTCCAGTAAATACTGAAGCCCCGAGTTTATTTCCCACCACCAATATATGCATCCAGAGGACGTGCAAAATGGCAGGGACAACTATGCATTACCTCATACAAAACCAGATCATTAACCATCTACTGGAGACTTTAAGATCAGAGGGACCTTAGGGGATCAGTTTCCCAGGACACTTTATTCCATTAACCCAGATAGCCATCTATCTATAGTGTCTCCTAAGGAACCGGCCATTCTCACCACATACCTCAGCGTTAAGTAAGCACTCTCCAGGTGCAGAACAAACAAAACAAGAAGCAAAACAATTTATGCTTCACTAAAGCCAGCCTGCATGGGTCCCAACAGTTGCCTAACAATTTACCTTCTGTGAGTGTGCCACCCTTCCTAAATTACCTGCAAAGCACCCAATCTGACCTCAATGTCTGTCACGTCCAGCGTGGCAAGGGCAAATAGGTTTCTCTTAAGGGGCGATGCAGATTGAATAAGAGCAAGAGACAAAAGTAAGATAAAGAGCGAGACCAAGGGACTCAGCCAGAGAAGACTGAGTGAGCCCCGAATCGGGTCAGCTCAGCGCATGGCTTTTATTGAGTAGTTTGTAAAGAAGTGAAACTGCTGTCAATCAATTTGCAACCGTGTGACTTATGTGCCTTAAGACCTTTGCCATTAACATTCCCATTGTGTTCCAGCAAATCCTATGCCTTCACACTTCCGCCACATGGCCCTAAGACTCTTTGTTACTGTGTCCTCCCAGGGGAGATAACTATTATCATTCCAATAGGTCCCAGTCACCTGAGACACTCCCAGAGAGAGCTTTACAGATATCATTCCATCCGGCCTCAGTTTTCCGAGACACTCTCTCGACTAATGGGTCAGAGGCTAATGCAGGGGGTGGGGTGGTGGTATTGGAATCGGCTATAATGCAACAACTGTCTTTGGAATTTTTACACGTATGTGAATTCCCCATGCTGGTATGTTAAAATTCGATTTTATGTTATTAATCGGAGTCTGTTAATTTGATGATTAGCTCAGCTAGAAGAACTTGTTACCACAGGTAGAGAGAACAGGGCCACAGAGAGAGGGGGGAGGAAAGGAAGGAAGACGTGAGGTGAACACAGAGAGGGGATGGGATCTTTCCTAAGGAAAGATGCAGCCACGGCTGATTGTAATGGGTTACAACACTGTTAGCATTGCCAGCAGGGAAAACTCTCCACCCGTGTCCCGCTGGCAGTTCCTACACGGGAATCCGTCCTCCAGTGGGCGGGAGTGGTGCGCAGAGACACGCCCTGGGAACGCCCTGGGGCCACCTGAGACCCCACCCCTGATTATTTCCCCGCCCTCATCCAAATATAATCCTAAATGTTCTTTGTTCCAGCGCAGTTGCTCTCCTCCTGGGCTTGTGCACTCCTGCGTTTTGGGAATATGTTTTCTTTCGTGTAATACATCCTCGGCCTGCGTGCCTGTGTTCACGAGGCGTTGTTCCTACAGCCTGGGATGCTTTCCTGTGATGACTCAAGGACCCGCTCTCCGATAACACACAAGGTGAGAGCAAAGTAATTAATTTTTAGGCACCCCTTCCCAGTTTCGGGGAGCCGGCCAGGAGAATAATCGGGCGGGGCACTGCTGGCTCCTGGGAACCGCTGCGGCTGGGAGCTCGGGGCTCTGCCCTCAGGTACGCGGGGTGTCCGTTCACCCCGTCAGCCTTCCGGGTCTATTTCTGCGGGTTTTGGGAGAACTTAGAAGCGCTGCGTGTTCCTTGCCTGTCTTCTGCATGCAGATTTGCAGGAAAACATATTTGTGGAGCTAGATTTTCAGGAGCAGCGAAGTTCAGGTTTCCTCCACTGAGCTTCTCTTTCCAGAGTTGGTCATTTTTTTGTGTCTATGTCTCTTGTGTCGTTTGTCATGACAAGGAAATACCACAGGGACAGAAAGTCTGGTTTCCTTGGTGAAGCTGTAAAAGGGCTTTTTGGCTTGAGTAGCTATTAAAATCCTACCATCAGTGGCCTTGGAATGGGAAAAACTTGTAAATTGGAAAATGTGTTAGAGAACTCGTGTGACAAAGAGCTGTTGGAACCTAGAGAAAGACCACACTTGAATACAGATGGATACAAGGAAATTTAAGAATTTTTAAGGTTTTGAACTAGTTCTTCAGCTTCTTGGGTCTTTTAGATGCTAATATATCAACATTAGGTTTAAAAAAGGCAGGAGGGAAAAGCAACAGATGTGCAAATTTAAAAAATCTTTCTGGAGATAATAACATTTTGAGAACTGGTATGTAGAAACGGGTTTTAAAGGATTTAATAACTGATCAGAAACTTGACACAAATGGAAGCTGATTTTCGGTCTGATAGAAATGAGAAAGTCTCAGCATTTGCCCCAGGCCGTGAGCCGAGTAGATCAGAAATGTAAACATAGCCCACAACTGTCTGAGGCTGCTGAGCTAAACAAGGAAAAAAGATTGCAAATGGGGCACTTTTAAAAACACAGGCCTCCCTTGTTCAGCCTGGCTCCCCCGTTTCCCTGCCTCTTTAAAGATTGTGAAGGACAAATAAAAACCTGAGCATAATCACCTTAGCCACAGAGAGAAAGACTCCAAGCAGAAGTCTAACAAATCTGTACGTGCCGTGTGTGTTCAGCTTTCCCTGAATTACTGTAAATCTCCCATTTTTACATCTCATATCTAAGAGCCCACTCCCACCTTTGTCTAAAATATTATATTTACCTGATTTTTCCTGTGTCTTTCAAAATTTCATGCTTATGTGAATTCCAGGTGCACGTGTATTACAATTCCTGGTCTCTGCCTGCGGGGCTCAGTATAAGTTAGAAGTGGCGTGAGTTCGTTTTCTCTTTTCTGAATTTAGATTGATAGAAAAAAATGTTTGTGAAGCAACTTCTTGCACCTAGAGACTAGGGGTTTTCTTTATTCTTTCCTCCCAGAGATGTTCGTCTTTTCCTGTGTCTGTGTCTCGAGTGTTGTTGTCCTAACAAGGAACTACCGCGGGGACAGAACACGGGCACAGGCTCCCATAAGCCTGCTGATGGAGCTGGCCCCGCAGGTGGGGAGCTAAGCGGTTCTCTCCAGACCGGCGTCTGCGGAGACAAACTTTGCTGTGGGTCCCCGAAAAACGCAGGAGGTTTCCTTTCCATCTCGTTCTGTGTCCCGGGAGCGTGGTTTTGGGAACATATCCTCTCTGGTCCCCGCCGTCGGTCAGGTGCACTTTCCGCGGTGCACCTTGGTGGAACCCCAGATAAGCTAGGGTTCCCAGGCGCCTCTGCCTGGCCGTGCCAGCTCCCGGGAGTGTGTCTTGAGGGGCCTGTGCCCATAACGGGCGTTTGTCCTTCCACCTTCCTTACCCGTTAGTGCCGGACAGATCCCGGTCCAGCAGCACCTGCCAGGGTCACAAATTAGTGGGCTCGGGGCTGGAGGTGCCTCACGTTTTGTGGGAGACCTGACACCCTCTGTACCCCAGCGTCCTGACCGCCTGGGTGACCCTGATGTCTGTGCCGTCTCTGTCTCTGTGATGCTCTAACTCTGGGAGGTTGGCGTCTGTTGCCTGAAGCCGATTTCTATTAACATGCCCCCCCCCCCAGCATTTAGCCTCTTTTCCCATTAGTTAAGAGAGAAAAGCCCCGGTATGACCGGAGGCTGCAATCTCTCTGAGGGAGTGCCCCAGTATGACCTACCGGAGGCCGATAAGGCTCCCTCTGGGGTGTGTCTCAAGGTGCGACTGGGACCTGTTGGAATGCTAAACAGTTAATCTCCTCTGGGAGGACATAGTAACCAGGTGTCCTGGGGCTATGCGGCGGATATGCAAAGGCATAGCATTTGGTGGAACATAATGGGATATGTTAAAGTAAAAAGGCTTTGAGGCCCAGACCCCAAACGGATGCTAATTTGATTGGCAGCAGTGAAGCAGTTTCACTTCTTTTCAAATTTCTCAATAAAAGCCATGCGCTGACCCGATTAGGGGCTCGCTCAGTTTCTCTGACTGAGTCCCTTGGGCTCGCTCTTAATCCTACTTTTGTCTCTGTTTATTCAATCTACGCCCCCCCTCAAGAGAAACCCGTTTGCCCTTGCCATGCTGGACGTGACAGGCGTCCTCTGCTCTGTGTCCTGGCCTCAGCTGTAGAGAGGCCGGTTGGTGCCTCTCAGTGTTTAGACCTTACTGTCCATGTCCAGAAGGTGGGTCCTTGGACTGGGAAAAACTTCTAAGCTGCGAGACAGAGCCCTTGTGACAGCCAGCGGTTTTCTTGGTAAAACATCTTGTGTTCTCTATAGTTACTATTCATCCTGTTAATTTGTGATCTCTGTCTGAAATGGTTTTTGATTGCCTGTAGTAAGATGTTTTCTAGCTCCAGATGGTGTTTCCAGTTTGTAATACTTGATTGGCTTGGACAAATGAAATGTTTATATAAATTAATAAATAAAATACAACCTAGGGCCGGCCCAGTGGCTCAGTTGGTTAAGAGCTCGCTCAACAGTGTGAGCCCTGAGCAACAGGTTTGCTGGGTCGAGCTCCGAGCTGAGCAAACAGGTGGCAGAATGGCTCAGCTAGCTAAATAAATAAATAAATAAATAAATACAAGCTAACCCAAATGCTTCTCAGGATCAGATGATCTGATGAAATATTTGATATTACAGCTGGTTTTAGTTTGGTTTGATTACACAGTCATGTCTTTGAAAATTATTACCATAAAATATCTTTTTTAACTGAGTTTATAAAAATTAGTTTGTTATCTGTGTTACAAAATGTGTCAAGAAAATAGCTTTAGTAGTAATTGACTTTGAAACCTGTAAGTTTTAACACATAAAATTGGTACAATTAAAATAAAAGATATTTAGGTAAACTTTTTTTTTTAAAGATTTTATTGGAGAATTAGGGAAGGAGAACAGCCAAGTCGTTGTCCTTCAGTCTTTGTTGTGGAGGGTGCAGCTAACTCAGCTCCAAGTCCAGTCACCATCCAGCTGCCCAGCAGCAGCTAATGGCTGCTCAGCTCAAGGTGCCTCGCAGGTGGGCATAGCCACCATCCCATGTGGGAGGCTTATTGGCAACCTTGTTGTTAGGAGCACGTGCTCTCACCATCCTGCTGCCTGTTGGCAGCTCAGCTGGGCCACAGAGTCACTGGCCCATGTGGGACTCTAACCAGCGACCTTGTTGCTCAGAGCTTGTGCTCTTAATCAACTGAGCCACTCGGCTGGCCCCAGGTAAACTTTTTAACGATAATTTTACTGCATATGTACATTGAAAAGATTTTCTAGATAACTTTCGTTATTTGAAATTTTAAAGTTTTGTTATGAAAAATAAATGATGGATATTTATTGAATGTCAATACCATTTCCTAATAGGAGAATAATGAAACACTAATTACTGAACATAGATTTATCAACTTTCTCTATTTATAGTAGAGGAACTGAATCTATTTGGGTGTATTTGTAAACGTCTTCTGCCACATTACAATTTTTTGTGTGCTATGGGAAAATGTATTTCTAGAAATTATTGAATATGTTCATAACTGTATTGATCTAAAGAATCCTGCTGTAACAGGTCACACTTGCTTAGTTTTCACTGCTGATTAAGATGGACATGTAACTTGTTTATGTCACTCTGCTATTGTGAACAGTGTTGCTGCGGATTCAGGTAGCAGCTTTTAACACCTGTTTTCAATTTTGTGGGTTATATTTCTAGAAGTGGATTTGTTGAACCACATGAGATTTTTTTGTGTGTGCAGTGGAAATTTCAAAGTGTTGTATGCAGAGACCACACCGTTTTAATTTTTCACAAGCAACGTTCAAGGGTTATAATTTATACATTGTTGCTGGCATTTGTTAGTTTTAGCTTTCTGCATTATAGTCTTGCTAGTGTGTGTGAGAGAGTGTCACACTGGTTTTAATTTGCGTTCCCATCACTACTAGGGATATTTAACTTCTCAATGTGCCTGCTGACCATTTGTATGTCTAATGTGGAGAAGGTTCTATTGAAGTTCATTTTAAAATTTTAGTTGCTTGTCGTTTTGTTCATGAGTTTGCAAAAGTTCTTTATTGACTCTGGATAACAGACCCTTCTCAGATACTTAATATATACCTATTTTCTTCCATTTTATGGGCTATTGTTTTACTTTCTGGATACATCCTTCCATAGGCAGTTCAGCTGGGGAGGCAGGCGGGTTACTGCAAACTTCTTAATGAAGTGCATTCTACATGAGGAGTCCCTGTGTGCAAATCGCTGCTAGGCTCCCTTTTTAAATTTGAGGAGTCAGCCAGCAGAGCCCTTAGAAGGTGTGTCATCTGTCAGAGCTTACATGTGTGTTGGTTGGAGTGTGAGGGGCAGAGGGGTAAATGGTGGAGAAACACAGAGGGAAGTTTTTCACCCCGGGTCCATCCAGCATGTGAGGAGCAGAGGGGATGCCTGGAAAAATGGGTAAAGTGAGACTCGGTAGGAAATCTGAAGTCTTGCTTCCACCAGGGTGTGAAGGACAAAGGTGGTCCTGGGCAAGACGCAAGGAGAAACCTTGGAGGTGATGTCTCTTCTTGGCTTCAGGCAGCATGTCAGGGGAGAAGGGGGTGCATGGGGGGAAAAGCAAGGATAGACCTAGATGAGATGTTCCCATCCGAGCTTGAGTCAGCATGAGAGAGGCACATGGGGTGCCCGGGGTAAGGGGACAGGTGAAACTTGGAGGTTACATCTCCATCTCAGCTTCAGCCACTGTATGAGAAACAGGATGTGCCAGGGATGAGGGTTGCATGTCAGCCGGCTGGAGTTCTGAGCATTTTCTCTAGGCTGGTGTCATGTGACTGCTTCCTCTAAACCAGTTTCTGATGTTCCTTCCTCCTGTCACAATTTAAGTGATGAATTCTTGTGGTACCAGGTTTTCAGATCACTAGGTGAGCAGGAAGCGTGAGTCTGGCAGGAGAGCCACAAGTCAGCCCAGCACCACAGAAGGCAGTCAGTGTTCATGAGTGCCGGCAGCCACAGTGTCCCATGAAAGCCAGGGGCCAGAGCTGCCATCACACCTTTTACAACCTGTGCTGCCCTAAGTTTTGAGGGAACTTGGTAAACCTCTGTATCTGTCCTGCAGGTACTACAGCTTCGAAGAGAAGATGGGACATGCTTCTGTACCGTATTGACAGCAGTATCTCCCCGTGAGGCGTGGACAAAGAAGGAAAAGGTAAGAAGAATCTTCATGTGCACAAACCATGCTGAGGGGCGGGGGAGAGGTGTCAGTTATCAGGGAACTCGGCAGAGAAAAAGCTCGTTGTGCCAAATCATTTTTTCTTTGTGGTGTCAAAGAGTGTTGAGGGCTGACCAGATTCTGAACCCCAGACACCAGATGAAGAGCCAGATTATGGAGTAAATTCTGGGCCCCAGGCCTTGGAGTCTCACCACACAGTTAGACCTAGGGGCTGAGAGCTGGAGTAAGTAATGGGATCGAGACAGTGGACTCTTGTGTTCAGATGACAGAAGACACCTCTGCTAAAGCATGGATCCCCTATGCAGACCACTTAAACAGACCGTTGACTCACAGCTGGACATCAGGGCCTCCCCATGACCATTGACCTAATCTCCATCCCTGACACTGACCCGTAACCCCCAACCCTACACCCATAAACTCCCAAATCCTTAAACATGTAACATATGTAAACATAAATATCATTGTGGAACATCTTGAGATTAAATGCAGCAGAAGCAAAAATGATGCAATGAAGAAACAGTAGATATCACATGACCAAGATTGCTGCCAGCATATCCCTTTATGTTACAGTGTATAAACTTTTCATTTGTTATGTTCTCCAGACAGTAACACAGGCAAACCACACAGCTTAAAAGGAACCTTAAGTAATTCGTCGTTTTTGTTAGGTCCTCAAAAGGTCCAGTGAAAAAGAGTGAGTGTCTCCTGGTTTGTATATTCTCTGAGCTAAGAGCTCAAACTGGTGCCTGCTTTGTTAAATACAAGAGTAGTTTTATCAGTGTTATGCTTTTCGACAGTGGTAGAATCTATAGAATCCAGAACCTAAAACATTAGAATTCATATTCTGTTTTCCTACATTTTGACCTAAAGCTGCAGATGATCCACGTTTTTTGTGAATTGTGTGACTAAAATATATTTAGAAAAATTTTCACTTATTGAAGTGTATATCAATTATCACAGTGAGGTCAAACTACTATTTAATTTCCCCCACTCTAAGTGTATGACAGTTACCAAGAAAACATAATAAAAGGAGACATTGCCTTCACAGATAATCGTATGAAAAGTTATACATTTTCCAAGTCCCACTAGCATAAGTAATGCTTTCTACTCCCTGCATTTGGTTGACTGTCGATTATTTTAATGGGAATATCACAGTAAGATCACAGACCACTTGACACTGTACGTGAAGCAGGTCAAGGTTTGCCCTTGTGTATTTAGATGTGTGTGAAATACCTGTATCAGTTTCTGTGATTTATTTACTATGATGGAGGGGTGAGACAACATGAATGCCTATGGGGCCTGGAACTTGACATCTCCCCTTACCTATTCTTGCTGCATACACCAGCATACATACAGACCGTGGACTCATAGCTGGACATCAGGGCCTCCCCAGACTGGTGACCTAATCTCCAACCCCAACCCTATACCTGAAAACCCCAAAATCCTAAACATTTAGCATATCTAAACATAACTATCACTACAAAATATCTTAAGATTAAATACAGCACAATAAAAAATGATGACATGTTGCCTTACAGCCGATTCTTAGACCACCCCCTCTGCATTAGCCTCTGACCCATTAGTCGAGAGAGTGTCTTGGAAAACTGAGGCCGGATGGAATGATATCTGTAAAGCTCTCTGGGGGGGGGGGCGTCTCCGGTTTGACTGGGACCTGATGGAATGATATCAGCTGTCTCCCCTGGGAG